TTGTTTGTTCGTTTTAATTCAATAAATGTTTCTTTCAATTGCATGAGTTGTGTTACATTCTTTATTAAGGTATTAATCTCTTTGTAAATTTCCTCCTTCATATCCTGGATATTTTTTTCTCATTTCATTATGCTGTCTTACAGAATCTTCTCATCTCATTGAGTTTCCTTAAGATAGTTACTTGGAATTCCTTTCCAGTCATTTCTAGAGTTTCCTGTTCTGTAGGGAGTGGTACTTGAAATTTACTGAATTCCTTTGGAGGTGTCATATTTTCTGATTTTTTCATATTTCTAGTATCTCTATATTGATTGTTGGTCATCTGTTAATTAGGTGTTTTTTCTGTTACTCTGGAGTGGACTTTGAGGAGAAAGACTTTTTCCTCTTTTTCCAGGCTCCTCCAGTGACTCTCCTTGTATCAGTAAAGACCGTTATGTGGTGAGCCACCTACTTGGTGGTCATGGAAGTTACTAATGCAGAAAGCTGGCCTTGCAGCAGTAGTAGCTGTGGAGGTGGCTGTTTTGGACCACCTGCTCTGGTGGTTGGGTTGCCCTGGTCTCCTGACTGCCTGGGTTCTCTCCCATTGGCAGCAGTGTGGCACAGAGGTTCTTGCTTTCTGGGTGTGCAGGGTGGGGGCTCTCAATGTATTAATTTTATTACAGAAATTTAGGATTTGAAGGAAGGGTCAAATTAGTGTTAGGAAGACCATTTACAATACAATTGTAGTAGACCTGATGAGAAGTTATGGAGTTCAGAACTAAGGCATTAATAGTGGGATGAGGTGACACAGTCACCNATTAACTGAAGTTAGTAATTCAAGAAAATTACTAGATTTTGGTGGAGTTTAATTTTGGGCAAGTAGGTGGGGGTATTTAGTAAGTGGCTGAAATGTGTGCCAATTCTTCAATAAACATTTGAGTGCTTGTTGCATGTGCTGGGTTCAGGATGTTTAAAACTGGGCAAGACATAGTTTTTACCATTCAGAGAATATATTCCAATGGAGGGAGGCAGAAATCTGTTAGTAATATGGAAGGATTCTAATGACCTATGAATTGAGTCATGGGAGAGTGTGGCTTAGAAGAGAGAAGAATTCAGTTTGGGTGGTTGGTGAAGTCTTCACAGAACAAATGGTTTTTAAGTTTGAGCACAATTTTTTTACACAGATAGAGAGGGATGGATATAAATGATATTCTAGGTAAAGAGAACATGAAAGTCCTGAGGTATGAAAGAGGGAGAGCCCTTATTGAATAACAGGTTATTCTGTGTGATTGGAATACGAGTACAGAGCAAGTGACTTTATATGCATAACTCTGTACACATACTCTTGGGTTTCTGTTTGTTGGGACAGAACTTCAATTAAGATTGAACTTTTCTGCTCTAACTTTTTCTAACAATTATTGCCTGGAACAATAGCTTTGAACTAATAATGGAGGTCAGGACGTCTGAGCATGAAAACATCAGAGGTATTAACAGAATTGTTGCTTTCATTTAAACAAAAAGTAGGTATTTGTTTCTAGGTTTAGGAGACCCAGGGTGTTTGGATTGAGTGATTAGTAGAACACTTTGTTCTAACAAAATTGTTTTAAAAATAATTTATCTACCTATTGCTGCTTAACTTTCCAAAGTCTCATTTTCACAAGGAGAGGTTACATTAGAAGCATAATAAAAACTTTTAAATATAATTTAGGAGTCAATTTCATAACATTTTTATTAGTAGAAAACAAGTCCTGGTTTGTAATTGTGAATGAATTCCAAATTGTTTCAGGGAGAATTATCCTCTGACAGCTTATGAAACCCAGAAAGACATGGGCTTCTTTAGAGTCTGTCTTTTCCTCTCCTCC